CCATCCCATGGGATTGACGAACGATTCCATGAAATGTGTCTGTTATAGCGCGACTCATCTATATCTGTCATTTTCCTTTCCCCTTGCTTTTTTCTGTTCTGCTATCGTACTTAGATGATACGTACGATATACATGTATCTTTTCTTCTTTCCTTTCCTTCACATTCAAGTATATTCCAAACATTCTTTTCTGTTGATATTGTTCAGGTATTTTCCCCTCTCATTATGTTTTTCTTCCTCATATAGTGTAAAGTTATTCGGAACTAGTAAATTAATTGTAGCTAAACGAAATGCTGTCATTGTTTCTGAAGAAGCCATATTAATATTCTTTTTTCTTTGACAATATCAAACGTAGACGGAATACTTTTAGTCAACAATAACGTGCCAACATCAGTATTTATTGTAAAGAAATATTTTTTTTTTCTTTTTTTGTTCTTCTCTGAGTAATAATTTGAGTGTTACAATGCTTCATTTTCGGTATTTTGCAATGTGTACACCTTTTTTCTATTATTTATCCTCATAATATAATCAAAAACTAAGACAAAGCAAATTGCGTGAATCTATTTTTTTATGGTAAACGATAATGTTGATAAGGCTATCTGAATTGCAACATATTCAATTAAACGGAAAGAATAGCAGAAAAATATTATTAATATTCTCAACGATCTTTCAGAAACAATTATTTTTAAATAATATGCATATGATTATCTTCCTGATTGAATTGTTTTTCATACACTAGTCTTTTATAAGAACATCGTCAAATAGAAATATGTTGTAAATGGTAACATTCAATGTATATTTAAAATCATAAAAAATTTCATTTATTTTGATTTTAATTTAAATTCAGCAAAAACAGCATTATGATCTGTCTCTCCTTTAGTATCAATAATTGAACATTCACTTAAAAACCATTGATCATTGACACGAGGATGTACATAAATATAATCAATACGCGTTCCATATTGACATGTTGCTATTTGTTCATCTTTTACTTGTGGATTGTTTAACTTAAATACATCTTGATAATTCCATTCATCTGTTATTAATTTAGTTAAATCAAAACGAGGTTTTTCCCATTGAAAATTTTCACGTACTCCAACAACTTGTTCTCGATAATAATTATCTGAATAATCATCTCTTGTTAATGCATTCATATCACCCATCAATATATCAATATTTTGTCTATGTGGATTAAATTCTTTGATTTGTTGTAAACGATTATCCTCATTAATATAATCTAAATGTGTTACAGAAAATATTCTATCTTTAGTAAATGGATGATCACCATTTAAACGACATTGCAGTAAACCTCTTGTACCACCTGGACATGGAAAATATGCTTGTTGATTTGAATAAAATTCAATTGGATAACGAGATGCAATTCCGTTCCCAAGATAAGCTTTATCACCTTGACCATAAATAAAATTCGGTAAAGAGAGATGTTGACAAAATGTTTTCCATTTATCATTATTGTTTATTTCTTGAAC